TATGGAGTTGGTACATCTCTTCTAATCTCATTTTTCTGTTGTCAATCAAACAACGATCGATCATTCATTCATTCATTTATTCGTTCATCATTCGTTCATTCATTCATTCATTCGTTCGTTCATTCATTCATTCATTCGTTATATTTTTAGTTTGGTCATTCGTCTGATTTTAATCAGCAACTAATTAATTAAATACCATTTCCCATTCATTCCATTCTTCATTCGTCTATTTATTACCCACTCACTCTCTCATTAATCCATCCACCTATTAATCCATTCACTAATTCATCTATCCATTCACTCATTCATTCATATATTCATCCATCCAAGCCACCGCTTAGTAGTAAGATTCTCCAGGGTCTTCCAACTGTCCTTCACCTTCTCAAGCTTCCCACTTGACACCTCCAGCATGTCCGGATACTTTTTGGATAACTCCTCGAAAGTCTGATCCAATTTCTGAGATTTTGAAGGATTTTGATCGAAAGAAAGATTTATTTTTGGGATTTTAACTATTATAATCCTTATGGTATGAACAAACAAACAACAAACAAACAAATAAATAAACAAATAAACGAACAAACTAGCAAACAAACGAGCAAACGAACCGACGAACGAACGAATGAACGAGCAAACGAACCAAAAAACCACAACAACAACAACAAACTTTGATTTGCTGCAGTATGGCAGTCATATCCTTCTCCACTTCATCCTGTTTTCTGATGAGAGCCTGGATGGACGCCAGATCTTTCCCGTAATCATCTGATGACATCACCGCGGCCTGCGTGACGTCATTGGCATAATCACTATTAGGTCATCACCATTCATCACGTCATCACCATTTATTACGTCATCACCTCGTTGCGGCTGTAGTAATAATTTTCAATTTATTTCAGCGCCACTCGACAACAACCTTATCATCATAAAAATTGAAAACTGACTGTCACTCACTGACTCATTAATTCATTCATTCGTTCATCCATGCATTCATTCATTCGTATATTCATTCATTCGTTAGTTCGTCCATCCATTCATTCCTTCGTTCGTTCATTCATTCATTCATTCGTTCGTCCATTCATCCATGTATTTTTATTAACTCCTCCATTCTATGATCTATATAGATAACTTGAAATTAAAACATGAAACTCAGTTGTAAACAAAAAATAATTAATAATAACATACTTATGCGATAGAACTTAACTCAATTAACAGCAATATAAATATAATATAACCAATATTATAATAACATAATTAATAATAATAATAATAGTAAAAAACCAAATAAAAAACAACAATAACAAAAAAAACAACAGCAACAACGACATCGTCAAAATAAAAACTTGAACGTATCGTGTTGAACCCAACGTTGTAAGAATCATCATAAATATCGACATATCATAAAAATAATATTTATTATAAATTATAATATACTTTATAATTATTAAATTATAATATATATTGCTGTGGTCGATGTTACTACTACTACTACTACTACTACTACTACTACTACTACTACTACTACTACTACTACTACTACTACTACTATTATTATTATTATTATTATTATTATTATTATTATTATTATTATTATTATTGTTATTATCATTATTATTGTTATTATTGTTATTATTAACCTGTTCGGCTGAGAAACACTGAGTTCGTGCAATTAAAAAAGAAAAAATGGTGGTGATAATGATAATAGTAATGATGATGATGATGATGATGATGATAGTAACAATGATGATAATGATGATGATAGTAACGAAGATGATGATGATGATAATGATAGTAGCGATGATGACGATAAACATACGTGTGTGATGTCTTTAAACAAGTTTTGTTAATTGAAACTTGAATAGCAGAATAGTTTTTAAAAACCTTCTAAACCTTAACAATAAAAAATAATATAATGATAATAATAATAACTATAATAATAATAATAATTATAATTATTAATTATC